ACTGCTAATGGGCAGGAGGTTTCTTTAGAATATGGTGAAAGTGTTCCGAAATTAGGTAATGGTGATGATTACACAACCTTATGAATATCCTAAAAAACACCGGATGGTACACTTTAAAATGGTGAACTTTGGCCCAGCTGGTGTGGCTCAGTGGTTGAGCATCAATTTATGAACCAGGAGGTCAGGGTTCAATTCTGTAGTCAGGGCACATGCCCAAGTTGGGGATCGATCCCCAGTGTGGGGAGTGCAGGAGGCAGCCAAACATCATTGATGTTTCTCTCTCCCCGCTTCATCTCTGAAATCAATAAGTATTTTTTAATAATATGATTTTATGTTTTGTTTTGGTTTTTTAGATGCCACATATAAGTGAGATCATAGTGTTTAATATTTGCCTTTCTCTATTGTTGCAAATGACAAGGTTTCCTTCTTTTGTATGGCTGAATGATATTTCATTGTGTGTATGTATGTGTGTGAGTGTGTGTGTGTGTGTGTGTGTGTGTGTGTGTATATATATATATATATATATATATATATATATATATATATGCCACATTTCCTTTATGCATTCATCCATAGACATAAACACTTCAGTTGCTTCCATGTCTTGGCTATCCAATATAATAGAGCTAATATGAAAATGGTCATCACACCATCACAATCCATCACCAGGAGGCATGCGCAGGTGGGCAGGGTCTTGACGCTGTCTATGTAGCATGGAGACAGGTCCCAGCAGTTCCATGCAGCAAGGCCTGGGGGTCCTGCAGCTCCATGTGGCATGGAAGTGGGACCCCCAGCTCCGGCCTACCTCCTTGAGGCAATCCATCTGAGGAGCCCTGGATGGGTGGGCCGGGTCTACCTCTTTGGGGAGATTGATCACAGGGCTCCCGCACTGAGAGAGGGCCAGGCCAGGCTGGGGGCACCCCCTCCCCCGCAAGTGCACAAATTTCGTGCACTGAGCCTCTAGTCATAATATAATTAGTAAATAACTTTTAAACTTGTGCACATTTGTTAAGTATTAATTTAATAATGTTTCATGGCAAGACTACTGTCCCAAGTTATGGAACTATTAGTATATGCATACATTTTAAAAGGGACATTTTTAGACGTAAGTACTTCTATCTCTAGTAGATCCTTAGTCTTGTGTTGTGCATTTAATTAACCCTTTTTGAATAAATACTGTATATAAGTTCACAGCTTAATCAACATGAAGTAGGCTCAAAGAAAAAATTGTCCAGAAATGTCTCAATCAGCAAAGCCTCGATGCACAATTTTAATTTGAATGACAAATAATTAGGAGGTAGAATTATTAAGATAAGCCCTAGCCTAAGAAGCTAGAATCTTTTAATATATGTGCTGCCGAAGCGAGCACAAGAAGCTAGAATCTTTTAAAATATTCACAAAACATTCTTTCATATCTACAGTTGTAAACTTTTGGAGTTAAATTCTAAATATCAGATAGAGAGCTAAATACCAGGAGGACGTATGTGTGGCATTTTTCTAAGCATGAAATTTCTAAGCATGGTCTCAGTAAAATTAACCACATTAAGTGCCCCAGTGCCCCAGCCACAAAATGCATCATACCCAATTATTAAATACTGTCCTGTGCCAGTACTTGCCGTCAGTAGAAGCTGTCCCTTGTCATGATATGAAAACCAACTTAGGAATCAGAATATATGAACTTAAACTTGAGCTTTAAATAATTAGTCTGTTCTTTCAACATTATAGCAGCCTAGCAATAGTTATTCTTTGTTCAGTAAATACAGACAGGGTGTGGTGGCCCTTAGCCAGCTGGGTGTGTCTCTGAAGTTGAAAAGATGACTAATGAGGTGCTGTTTACATTTAAAAGTAGAAAAATTACCCTTGATGTATACTATTTCTTTGACTAACTGAAAAAGCACACAATTCAAAAGCAATAAACTCTTTCAAGACAATTTTCGGTCTCAAGGGTTTTTGTTTAAAAGTAATATACTGCATATTTTCAAAATAACACCAGGGGTCACTGTAAGCTAGACAGCTTCAAACACGTTTGAAAATGTTGTTAATGCTAATCACATGGTTTTTATTTGAATACTTGTTTGTTGGTGGCATTTTTAAAAATCCCTGCTTTCTTTCCTAATGGCCCTCAGGAGTTTTAATCATCTTCTTGTTACAGAAAACCGGAGAAGAGCCAAGCAACGCTTAGAGAGATGGAGTTACCCTTTTTTATTATTATTACGTGTGGGCCGAGAGAAAACTGTATTTCAAATGCTGGGCCCCAACATGGAGGAACTTTCCCTACTTATATGTTTTACCTTCTTTGTCCCCCAATTATAAGGTGTTTCTGGTCCCCTTTGCAAGTTCTTAAAGAGCCCTATGTGCTGGGGCTTTGAGACCTCAACCTAAGACTTGGCCTGGCACCGGCACTGATAACTTCATCAGTGCTGGTGTAGTTTTATTTTCCTTATTATTTAAGCAAGCAAGCATTTACAGAAGCCAAAAAAAAAAAAACAAAACAGGGTTACAATTTCAAACAGCTGTCTTTATATAAGGTGGATGCTTCATTCTAACTGTCCAAATTATTGAAATAAAAACTTTATTTTTCATAAGCACTGTCACAATCAGATCAGCATGACAAAGTGTTATACTTCTAAGAATGTTGGAAATACTTTTTTCTCCAGAAAAAAAGAGAAAGTATGATATAAAGCTGCACTTATTTTTTTTTTACTTTGCTGCATGTAATATATTTCTGCCTAAATGTTCATGTGTTAGGAAGAGACTAGGTTAAATGACTTCTAAGATCCTATCCAGCTCAGAGTTTTGTAACGACACACTTAAGCTTGAACTGCCTATTGATTTAAGTATTTTATACTATACAGAAGGTCACAGAACTTCACTCCTGCTCCTGGAGGACCACTTTGTTTAAGTACAGGCCTGGGGAAAGACAGAAGGAGATGTAGGGCTATTTTAGAGATTTCAATATCTAAATAAGAGACGGTTCTGGGATTCTCTACCATACAAGACAAACCTAAGTTCTTTCCTTGAAAACAACCACCTCTCCAGACTGTCTTTTGGTTTCCTTCAGATCATGTTCACACATATCTCCTTCTCAACTTAATTCCATCCTGTGTAACGCCTTTCCCCACCAACATGCAGGTAGCCTCACCTGGATCTAAGTCACTGTAGTCAATTTAGTGGTCAATTTTTGACCAGTGTTTAAAAATAAGTATAATAGGAGTTTTTGAAGTTTGGACTCCAAAATGTATCACATCACACAATCTTGGTGCTCACGACACTGCATTACATTTGCCAGCCGTTTTCCCTGAGCTGCAGGCTGGCTGGAATCTGCAGGAGGAAGATGGCCTTGTTGATATTGTACTGGAGGCCCAGTGCATGAATTCATGCACCTGTGGAGTCCTTGGCCCAGCCTGTGGGATTGGGCTGAAGCTGGCTCTTTGACATCCCTCGAGGGGTCCCAGATAGAGAGAGGGCACAGGCCAGGCCAGGCCGAGGAACCCCAACTGGTGCATGATCCGGGCCGGGGAGGGATTCAGGAGGCAGCCAATCAATGATTCTCTCATTGTTGATGTTTCTCTCCCTCCCTCTCCCTTCCTCTCTTAAATCAATACATATATTTTAAAAATCCAACTCAGAGGAACAGATTTTCTTTTTAAATAAAACAATCAGCATAATATGGCCTAAAATACATAATATAATTAGTCTCAAAAAGGAGGGGTTGGATGTTCCTTTCAGACAAAAACATTTGAAGAAAAAAATGGCTGATTATTTGCCATGTTTGAAACCTTTCTCAACATACCCCAGGTTGAAAACAAACAAACCAACAAACAGGAAAATAAACACAACCAAGCATATCTCACTAAGACTTAAAGAGCAAATTAACACATGAAAAGATGCTCATAATTATGTTACAAAGGAAATTAAAATCATACTGAACTACCACTTTATACCCAATAATGATAAAATTAAAGACTTCCAATACGAAATGTTGGCAAAGATATAAAGCAAACTCTCATTGTGGGTAGGAATGTAATGTGGTACAAGTTAGAAAGTGTGAAGGCATATAAAATTAAGTGCTTACATACCTCTCAGTAATCCACTCTTACATGTAGCCATGAGAAATACATTGCTATGTCCACACAAAGACTAATACAGGGCCACATGCTAACCTGACTCACTCAGGGGAGGCCTGCATGATGGCCTTGCAAACTCAAGGGACCTACAGTAACCACAAGGTGGTCTGAAATGAAAACCTTTTCATTAAAAGGCAGTTTACAGTGGGTAGTCATGTCCTAGGCCAGTATCTTCCCTGACAAAGATCAACTTTGATCTTTACTGTTTGCATCTAACATAACACACCTGTGGAATCTCAGAGTAACTTGTAACTTCCCTTTTCCAGACCTCTCTGGGCCCATCAAATGGGGCCAAGGGCAGACCACAAATTCCCTCATTGTTAGTTATCTTGTTTGTTGTTGACTGTTAAAGATCTTGTACCCACCTATGTAAAAGATATATATGTCATTTTTTTTTGCCCTCCCTAATCAATCACCCACTTAAGTCTCCTCCTTTGATAGTAATGTATAAAACAAGATGAAAAAAAAAAAAAAAAAAAACAATTCTCTGAAGCACCATCTCAATACGTTGAGATCCTGCCTCCCAACAATTGTCAACAGTTTGGCTCAAATAAACTCACAAAAATTCTTTACAGGTTTGAATGTTTTTTACATTAACACAAGGGTGATAGATAACACAGGGTGAAGGTGAGCTTGTTAACTCCCACCTACAGTATGGTCGGCAGACATAAGCAGAGCAAGGACAATGGGCCAGGTACAGAAGGTCACCAGGGTGGGAAGTTCTGGGTGCCCAGCATGTGGCAACTGTAGGGTGAGGAAAAAAATGTAGGTGGGACCTTGCCCCCCGGGTGACCTTTCCTCTCCCAGCACATCACTGATCTCCAGGGAGCACATCCTCCCTAGAGATAACATTTGGGCCTTGTTGTATTTCAGCTCCGGGTCCAGAAAGACAACAAAACCAGACAGCATCCCCATGGCTACCCTGAGAACCAGCTGCATTGATTAGACCCCCTGCCCAGGCACCAATCCATCCGTGGAGACAACCCTGAAAGGACACACCTGGAGAACGGCTGAAGGGTCTATCAATAGAAGATTAATAGACTTTCCCTCAAATCCCCACCCTTAGAACTCTGAGGACCTCCCTCCCTGGGGCAAGCCAGGGCCTTTCTCTTTCCTTCCCCTTCTCCTTCCTCTGCCTCCTCCTCCCGGTCCCAAATCCTCCTGCCTGTCCCAACGTCACCATTAGCTTCCTCACTCCCAAGCTCCTAGGGCCCTTCCTTTACCTCTAAAACTTGTTTGCTAAGCCTATTTCTTCTAGGAATTACTGCTTCTGCCTCTGTAATTTACCCAATACTTGTTCTCTAAGAGTTTGGGTCTTGGCTCTGAATTCTTTCCTAGCCAGAACCCAAGTACCGAGGTTGCTGAATCTGGATTTGGTCTGATCTCACGGGTCAGATACCAGGTGCCTTTCCACCGCTTACAGCGTAAGGATGGCGGAAGAGGGTAAATGTGTTCTGTGAGGCCTGGGGCAGAGAAGAGGGAAAGAGATCCCATGAGTTCTTGGGAGCACTGCCAAGTAGATCATGACAATTTAGGAAATTTTGGGGAAAGAAGCACAGCAATTGGAAATACAAAGAGCTGAAATGCCATTACAGAAAGTGTAAAGACTTGAACCACTAGCTCATGGCACATTTCCTTCAAACACAGTCTCCTAAGAGTATTAGCAAACATTTGAACTAAATCATTTATAAAAGCTTTAAATAATGTTCAAGGTAAGCATGCTGCCTTTCTTCAAACACTCTACTGAATCAGTAATTAAGGATAACTTAGCATTGAACTTCTCAGAGAACCGGACCACATTGCTTTTGGGAACAGTTAATGGGCTAAGAACAAGCCTAAGAGTGACTGCTTTGACAGTTAAGAAGTCTTAACTCACAACAGCTTGTTTTACTGGAATAAACCCGTTCCATAGACTCTCATGTTTGTTGCTTGAAAGAAGTTTACAAATAAGACATGCCTGTGTATGTTTGTCTACCCATACAGACACATGGAAGGACTGACAAATCACACAGCACAGGATAACCAAAGCATCTTGGAAATACATATTGCAGCCCGGCTGGCATGGCTCAGTTGAGCATTGACCCGTAAATCAGGTCTTGTATGACCAGGCGGGTCGCCGTTTGATTCCTGATCAGAGCACTTGCCAGGGTTGTAGGTTCCATCATCAGTGTGGGCGTGAAGGAGGCAGCCGATTAATTTTTCTCTCACCATTGATGTTTCTATCTCACTACCCCTCTCCCCTCCTCTCTGAAATCAATAAAAGTTTTTTAAAAAATGTATATTGCCATAACAGAAAATGTATTTCAATTGTCAAAATTCTGCCCTAAGCAGTTTGCTCAGTGGATAGAGCATCAACCTATAGACTGAAGGGTCCAGAGTTTGATTCTGGTCAAGGGCATGTACCTTGGTTGCAGGCTGGATCCCTAGCCCTGGTTGGGGTGTGCAGGAGGCAACCAATCGATGTGTCTCTCTCACATCGGTGTTTCTCACTGTCTCTCCCTCTCCCTTCCTCTCTCTCTAAAAATCATTGGAAAAAATATCCTCAGGTGAGGATAAAGTAAAAAAGAAATTGTCAAAATTCTTCCAATTTCTCAATGCAAAATACATTCCCACTAAAAGCTATTCTTCTGCCCTGGCCGGTTTGGTTCAGTGGATAGAGCGTTGGCCTACGGACTGAAGGGCACATGCCCAAGTTGTAGGCTCAATCCTCAGTTGGACATGTGCAGAAGGCAGCTGATCCATAATTCTGTCTCTCTCTCTCTCTCCTTTCCTCTCTGAAATCAATAAAAATATAGTTTTTTAAAAAGCTATTCTATAAGAAAAATTTATCTTTGTTACCTTCAGGTTTGTATAAAGACCATGCAGTTGCTAATTTTATTTTGAAGGTGTTTTTAACTGAAAGCTTAGTCAGTTTTCACATTCAACAATAAACATTTTTATTTGAAAATTATTTAGGGCCGAAGCCGGTTTGGCTCAGCGGTAGAGCGTTGGTCTGCAGACTAAAAGGTCCCGGGTTCGATTCCAGTCAAGGGCATGTACATTGGTTGCAGGTACATCCCCAGTAGGGGGTGTGCAAGAGGCAGCTGGTCGATGTTTCTCTCATCGGTGTTTCTAACTCTCTCTCTCCCTCTCTGTAAAAAATCAATAAAATATATATTTTTTAAAATTATTTAGGGAATAAATGGTGATGAAAAAAAATAAATAAATAAAATACAAAAAAAGGAAAACATTATTTAATCAGCATTTAAGTAGAATAATCCATAAGGAAAATATCTTTTAAATAGTTACCTTTTCTTCCAGTTCATTTGGTTTAAGACCATACCAAGTGCTAAAAAATGACTGAACTATTTCACTTTGTTGCTGGCAAGAAACAAACTCAGTACTTCTTGTCTGAAATAGAAAGCAATTGGGAAAAGTGGCCCCATTACATTTTTTAAAAATGCAATCCCACTCACCTTCTCCCGGCAGAGGTGGACCGCAGAACAGCAACTACTGCAGAAACGTCCCAGTAAATTCATAAATCTTCTTTAAATTCTCCCGGGCATATTTATGCATCATCTTATCTCTGGCCATCTAATTTAAATTTAAAAGGACAAAGATCCTTTGATCTTCTGGAACAGTTACTTAAGTCTCTGAGGAGATAAGATAGAGAGGTATCCCAGGAGACCATCTTTCCTAGTGGTTTGTGAGACTCATCAAGTTCTACACCATAATAAATGAGATTAATTCATTATTTCAGTTCCTAGTGTTTGGGTCCCTCCTTAGTTCCAGGCGGTACTAGGCACCAGAAATGTTTTTGTTTTTGTTTTTTGCTTGTTCTTTGATTAATCCACACCCTAGGATATTTTTCCATTGATTTTAGAAAGTGGAAAGGGAGAGGGAGAGAAGAGGGGGCATCAATGTGAGAGAGACACATCGATTGGTTGCCTCCTGCATGTACCCCAACCAGGGCCAAGGAACCGGCAACCAAGGTACATGCCCTTGACCAGAATCGAGTCTGGGACCCTTCAGCCCAAAGACCTGAGTCAAACCGGCTAGGGCTAGAAATGTTTCTTTAAAATCCTATCAGACCAGGTTTTGTCCTCAAAGAACTCATAGCCCTGGGGAAACGAGTGTTAAGTCAACTGTTGAGGTGCCGCTACCAGTCAGTATGGCAGGTGCTGCATGTGCACCCACAGCACGGGACAGCTGTGGGTCCCAGGAGAGGCACGGTCTGGACAATGACTTGGAGGTAAAACCAAGTGTAGGGAGCAGGCAGTTAGCCAAGAGATTTGGGAAGCTATTCCTCCAAATAACAGAAAGATAAGCCAGAGAATCCGGCCTAGGGGAAGAAAGACCCTCCTCTCTCTCCCATGTCCCCAGGCTAAAAGTCAGTGTTGACCAAAGCCCAAGGCTCGCAAGGGAAAGAGGATTTGGCTACTCTCATGGCAGCTGAAAATTTGAAGTTTAGAGAGTGTAGTAAATAAAGGCATGAGATTAAGGGAAAAGTAAATTGAGTCAAGACTGTGTAATTATTTTTTGATAAATTAGAGACACTGACTTATTAGGGGAAGCCATTGAAGGTTTTTAAGACATTTTTATTTATTGGTTGATTTCTTTAAATTTATTTTTATCTGTGTACATATCTTACCATTGGCCCCCCTCCCATAAAAACCCTCCCTCCCCAGAGGTTTGTGTCCATTGGTTGTACTTATATGCATGTATACAAGTCCTTCGGTTGATCTCTTATCTCCCCCAGATCTCCCTCCCCTCCCCACTGTAATTTGAATTTATTGGTTGATTTTAAAGAGAGAGAGGAAGGGAGAGAAACATTGATTTGTTGTTTCACTTACCGGTATTTAGGCATTCATTGGTCAGCTGTCTACTATAAGCTCCCCACTGGGAATTGAGTTCAAAACCCAGGCATGTGCCCTGACCAGGAATTGAACTGGTGACCTCTTGGTTCATGGGTTTACACAGTTGATACTCAACCACTGATCCACACCAGCTGGGCTCCAGAACCTTTTTTTTTTTTTTTTTTTTTTTTTTTTACAGAGAGAAAGGAAGAGGGATAAAGAGTTAAGAAATATTAATGAGAGAGGAACATCGATCAGCTGCCTCCTGCACACCTCCTACTGGTGATGTGTCCGCAACCAACGTACATGCACTTGACTGGAATCGAATCTGAGACCTTTCAGTCCACAGGCTGATGTTCTATACACTGAGCCAAACCAGTTAGGGCTCTCCAGAGTCTCTCAGAGAATGTCTGAATTCACATTCAAAACTGTCTTTGAAATATTAGAGGAGGGAGAGGTTGTGGAATCATCTGGGACAGGGCTCATGGTCATTAATAAGATAGCATTTCAACATTATAGAATTATAGAGAAAAAATACTCCAGTACAGGTCTAACCTTCATTTTCATTATTCTACTCCCTCCTCCTTCTCCTCCTCACCTATCTGACTCTTTCCACCCACCCATGGCTATTCTTCTAAGAAGCCTAATGGCGCCTGTCTGTTGGCATTCAGACTATTTGATTTCTTCTAATAACTTCTGTGGGCTAGCAGACACCCAGCCTCCTAACCACACAGAAACCCTGTTGTGCCTTATAAGATAATAAAGTAAAGTGTTCCCATAAGACATTATTTCCACAAATAGCCATTGAAATAATATTTATACTGTCTAAAATAGTCACATTCAGGCAACTTTAAAAAATGAGATTAAATAAGATAACTGAGATGCCTGGGCATTAACTAGAAGGGCGTATGTGAAATCAGGCCTGGTGTCCTCTTCATTTTACTTCTAATTGTGACACCCTAAGCAAGCCATATAATGGTCTCATTAAAAGATCCTGTTGAGAAAAGCAGGAGCAGGGAGCCATCTGGTGTGTAAGGTACCTGCTGGCTGAAAAAGTTCTGGGCCTAAAAATAACCATGATACGATGTGTGTTAAAATTAGGCAAACAAGCCAGCCACTGACCAATCAAAAAGACTGCTATTCCCCACCCTCGATGTAGAAATAGACATGGTAAATAGCCATGGAAAGCCCACAGCTCTGGTTTGGGGGTAAGAGTGGAAGATTAGGAAAGTATGTGGTTTCTAAAAGAACGTTAAAAAAAAAAACAAAAAAAAAAACAACAACAACAACATTGAAGATGGAGGCATGATCAATAATAATTTATGGTGCCTCTTAACAGATTTGAATACAATATAGAGCACATGTGTGTGAAGAAAGTGAACTATGTAATATAAAAAGGAGTGCCTGGCCCTGGCTGGTCTTGCTCAGTGGATAAAGCGTTAGCCAACGGACTGAAGGATCCTGGGTTCCATT